GTTCTTTTTTAACCTAAACATACTAAAATTCCTAATATTCTATGATAAATCTATGAGTGAGTGTTTTAACATCATTTTCACTAATTCTAAATTAACCATAATTTTAGTGAAAGGGTCAAGAGAATATTTACAAAAATGAATTCTATCGATACGAATATGATCCTTTAATAATGTATTGAATTATAATCCAATAAATTTCTCGCTAGCAAATCACCCGCGACGTATGGCTGATAAGCAACATAGACTAATAGTGCAAGACTTAGGGCAACCAATAAATGACAAAGTAGAAATTCCCATGGTTCTTGTAAACAGGAGGTTGATATGTCAACACGATACGTGTTAATTGCAAATTGATCTTTGATGTTTGTAAACATGTTAAGGATGGATATATTTGGTTTTTGTGTTAAACTTTTCATTATTGCTAGATGATTTCGACGATTTTGACTTTGATTTTTTTTTATGATGGTTCCTTCCGGCTAAATTTTGACGATAATATAATGTGAATAGAAAAGATAAAATCGATATAATAGGAGTATTGGGTCACCGGAAAGGTGGGTATTGTAAAGGGAAGGAATGGTTTTATTGACTTTTGGGTCACCGGATAGATGGATATTGTAAAGGGAAGGAAGGGTTTTATTGACTTTTGGATCCTATTGATCTCAAAGATTCATACCCTTAAGGAGAAGATAAGGAAAAAGAAAGAAAGACAATTTATCAAAGAAAAAGTAGATTCAATCATCCCTTATATATATATATATATACTGTATATATGGTATATGCTACTCGGTATAGGTTTTTAGTTTTATTCGTACATTACCGATAATACGTAATGTAGATAAAAAAGAATACGTATTTAGTGTCAGATCTTTGTCTCTAATAGGTAGTTAAAATTCAACATTATTAAAACTATAGTTGATTTCTTGAAAAAGTATTGGTCACATATTTATTATGCATATATAACTTTTTGAATTCAAAAAAAACACATTATTTTAAAAATAGTATTTCTAAAGTTTAGTCACATGCATCGATTCTTGATCGAAAATTTACTAATCTTAATTGTGTATAAGATTGGTCGCATGTATTATTATCTGTTTCATCTGTTTATTTGGATGGTTGGTATTTAATTGCAGTGAAAGGTGTAACAAATATTATCCGTTGTGTCCGTTATGTATATATCGATTAATACTCGTTATTTTCTCAATTCACAATGCTTAATTACGTAATTTGATAATTAATTATAAAATATTATACTTATTTGGACTTTTTGACGGCAAAGCATTCCTAATAATAGTCATTAATATCTAATTATCTTATTCAGAATCAGTTTACGTATTCTCTTGAGTAAATGCCCAGCTGTTTAATGTGAGGCGAATCGTTATGCATATGACTATAAATATAGTTTACGAGTCGATTTTCCAAGTAATCCAAGATACTAGACTGGTTCACACCAAGAGTGATCTATAATTAATATATTTTTTGATCTTCAAAACGGAATAATATCTACCGCGCTAAAACAAAAATTACGGTAGTCTCTCGATTAATTATAATCAACTTCAGCCGGTTAAGTGGATTCCGAGTCCAATTTCATTTTATATTAAAATGATTGGTGACTTTATGCAAGATGTGTATTAAGTTTAACGAGTCTAATAAACATAATTCTCAAGATGGCAATAATTATCAATTACTATCCTTTTATAGAAATTATTAGCATTGTCTTTTTTGTAACTTTACTGGATTATTTTATAAGGAGGATCTGTTAAACAAATATGGGGGCCGTGAATTTACCCAATATGTCTCGGATTATTCCGGACACAAGACAAAGACAAAACCACAAAAATATAAAAAATGGCTATCTAAACTGGTCTTGATGCACTAAGTAAAAGTGTTGGAAATGTAATTTTACTATATATAGCCTATGTCTAACCCTAACCCTAATATTAATTAAAAATCGGAAAAACCGGAAGGTGCCAGGCTTTAAACGTCACCCAAATATGGTTGAATTTATTCTTAGCAGTAGAGATCAGTAGAACAATCATGTTACAACTATTTGTTCATGTATAATACACGAGTATATTTAACTTTAGGGGGTGATACACTAGCATTAACCATTTGTGATTTTGTTACAATAGAACAACAAATGCTGTTACAGGAATGCGCTACAAAATTTTAAAACATTTCTTGAAACACATAATATTAATCTAGGCTTCATGCCCCTACGTAGACAAGGATTTTGCAGAAATTAATGTTACAAAAAAGTCAATGACATATGTAGATTAATAATGTAGTTTAATTGTCACGCTCCATAATATATGCTATAAGACGTGACAATTATTTTTCTTATTTCATATTGACATTTTTAAAAAAGTGATATTTTCAAGCTTATCACTATGCGCTATGTCGGATCTTGCCACGCACTATGCTAGAGACCTGCACGGGCCGGCCCGAAATTAGAAATTTTACAAACCTCGCAAATTGCGGGCCGGTAAAAGTACAAATTTTAGGCTTGTGCAGACCCCTACACCATACAATAATAATGAGTACGTCGAATATTATTTCCAAGAAATTTATTTATCTAAACCATAATTTTTCGATCTTTGGTATAATAAAAGTTAATGGCAAAATTTTATAAGCAGAATATACGTACGTACGTAGTTGGCTTTATATTTTTTCTTGCATTCACTCATGAATTTTGACTGAGAAAAATTCAGTAGATTTGGCAGATTTCGACATGGATATCATATGAGTGACGCCAAGGGAAAAGGGCACCTCGGCAATTTAAGTATATTATTGATTAATTATCGAGTTCAACAATGATGCAGACCGTGCTTTAAATTATACATTAACGTTAATAGACATTTTATATTAACGTTTGTTATAAAATTGAAAGCCCGATCTGAACTCGATAATTAATCAGTAATATACTTAAATTGCCAAGGTGCCTTTTTCCCTTGGCGTCACTCATATGAAAATATCAATTCCTATCGCTACACCTATTATTATATATATGTAGTATCGGTATTGCAAAGAAACTTTAGAATTACAGATTTTTTGATTTTTTTTTAAGATTTTGCCTGCTACAATACTGTATCTGATAAATTTGTGCTATCTGGTTTTGTAATATAAAATTTTATAATTATATATTATGTTTTAGATTTAAGAATGATAATACTTACGTATGATATGTACTTACCTTTGCTTTTACTTAATATTTTATGCTATTATTATTATCAATAATAATAATAATATATATATATATATATATATCTGATATATACTTGTTTATTATACGTATAAGTAATATAATATGTAATATAGTATATAATCCATACGTATGTATGTTATAATAATAATACAGACCTTTCTAAATGCATACGTAGGCGAGGGGCCTATATGAAAAATCGAAAAATCTCGCATTTAGGGAGATAAAAAATCTGTATCATATGAGTTGGGGTCGAACAAAGCCATGCACTTAGTGAGGTTTTTTTATAGACTATGCATTTAAGGAGATTGCATTTAGGGAGGTTTGACTGTAAACAGTAAAAATGATTAGTAAAGCATTATTTAAAATTTAAATAAAATGAAAAAAAACAAAGATACAAGTAAAAAAATTTTAGAAGTTTAAGAGATTAAAATTAAAAATTATTATACAAAAGTAAAAAGTATTGTTTAAGACCAACTTGTAAAAATTTTTTTGTCTAATCGTAATTTTAATTACCGCATAACAGATAACGGTTTAAAAGTTTAAAGGACTACGTTTTAAAAACATATTTTCCGTATTAGCATTTGACATCCAGTTGGATCAAGTTATTCGCCAACTTAAAAGTAGTTTTGAAGTTATTACCGCTTTTTAAAAGCAAAGATGATAGGAATTATCAATCATTTTACAAAAAGAATTAAGTAACATGAAGTTAAATCTTTATTCTAAAATCGAACTTGACTTTTACTAAAATGTTTATGGTTCTTACACTTCTGGCTTGTGAAATACCAACCTTAGAGTGTTGTGTTGCTTTTTGCAATAACTTAAAAGGAATAAACACTTAAGTTGGCGATCAGCGATTTTTCACTTATATAAATATTAAGCGCTCATAAATGTGCAAAATAATATCAACTATGTAAATTGTAGTAAACCTATTTTGTATTTTTTAATGACACATTATTTTACATGAAAATTTCATAGCAAAAATAATGATGAATACCTCGATCACATTAATTTGTGAGTTAGGAAATGTAAAACCGTACCTCCCAATTAACTACCAAAACGTATTTGCAATCAAGAACTCCTACTTAAAATATCGTAATTACCCATTAACCTGTACTTCCATACCACCACCTGCAATATCAATCATTTTTTTGCCCTTTTTGGATGTAACTGGCTTTGCAACATAAATTTCCAAAACATTTCTAAGATTTGTTATGAAGCCAGTATCATTATCCACAAGTTGAACTAAATCAATAATATGCATTGATTCTTTGATAGCAATGAAATGTAATGCAACTGATTCGCACGTTGAAGGATTCAATGGCCTAAGTTTAATATGGTTAATATAAATAAATGAATAGGATAGGGAAAATGTAAATCATAAATTTATGTTTTCTTACCCGATTCGAACATTATTTTCTAAACAAATAATATCAGAATCTGGTGTTTCATGTTCCAAATATTTTCTTATGAAATCTATAAAGTACATAAAAAAAATTTTTTTTTTTAATACTAATAAAAAATTAAAATTTCCTGGAAAATAATTAATTACCAGATTCTTCCATAAATGGTTCTAGTTGATTTGCTTGACTACCACTTATAAGTAGTTCGGCGGCTGAATTTTGTACTTTTACTGTTGCTGACGGTATGGATATGTGTTTGATCGCTCTGTCAATGATTAAAAAGTCATCAGTAACAATAAGGTTAAAAACTAAATATGAATGATAATTAATAACATTTGTTTAATCTTACTTCTCATTTGGACGTTTTTTATTGGGCACCACCACAGTAAATCTTCTTACGTGCTTTGATCTATTGACGAAGAAAATATGTATTGTGAACAGCTTACCTAAAACAACCTTTGAGCTGACTGAAATAATAGAAAGATTGATAAGATTTGATATATTACACGTTAAATATGACTCGAAATTTTTATTTTATTTTGTTTACCCAAAAAGGAAACGACAACACCATCACCAACTTCCATCTCCATAGGTCTGGATGTCATAGGAGTTCTGCCTCCAGTAAGAATACCATTACCAATCGCATTGTTGTCAGGTATGGTGGGAAGGTTTGCTGGTTTTTTAACTTTTCCATTAGAGTCCAAGGCTGAATGGAACCCTTTAAAATTGGTTGGTGTTGATGAACCAGTGGGTGAAAATAAAGAGTTGCCCCTAGATTGTCCCGCTTTTGCGTTTTGTGATAAGGGTTTTTGATTTGGCATAGGTAATGGCAAAGAATCTTCACGTCTCCGTAGATTAGTTAGATCTAGCATGCAATTCCACCTTGACTCGATGCTCCGACACTTTGTCCCATCAAGAATCGGTGATCCTCTTGCAACGATTGAAACATGACGCTGACGCTCTTCTGTAATAGGTGAACCAGAGGTGATTGAAAATACTGATGATACAGAGGTGCGACGGGATGTTGGTCTAGAGTGAGGTTGTGGCGTAGGACAAAATTGTGAAGACAATTTTGGAAGTGACAGATCATCTAAAATCGTAATGCTATATAAAAACGTAACTTGGTCGACAGGATGAAGCGTTATTGGAAATTTATCCTGGCATGACCATTATCTAAATTTGTAAGTATCACCTTTTTAATGCTTTT